AACGTTTTCATCCAATTCACCCCAGCCAGGCAGGGGTACACCGTGAAAGGCGGTACTGATGTCTGAGGACATTCATGCCGCCATACCATTAACACCCACATCAGTCATGACCCGTTTGTCCTTCTGGCAAACATCAGTTCAAAGGGTAAGGGAGCCAGGCTCCAACCTGACTAAATTCAAGATGACTTCCACACAGGTTCGAAACGTCAGTTTCTTATCAGTGAAGTGCACTGAGTGAATAAAAACAGTGGAGCATGAGTGAACAAAATAATACAGTGAAATATTGAAAATCGAAAAAAGAGTGTAAAAAGTAAATATAATATGTTTTCAATACCTCTCATATTTTGAGTTCATCATTTTGAGGTGGATTTGTACGGAATCAGCTTTCATCCTAACTTTCAATTCAGCTTTGATATATCTCTTTTATATCTTGTAATAGCACAAATTCAACGGTAATGTCACAAATGTCACAAACCATGAAGAGGGGATAGTAACACCAATTGCACAGAAAAAGCATACAGCAACCTGATATATAGGAAAAGGAAGCAGGGAACAATATTTCAAACAACTCAATGTATTCTAATTATGGCTTGAATAAGATGGCTGCTTGATGAGTCAGAAACTTTTGAATTTCCCGCACAGTAATTTCAAATGTAACATTAATCATCCATTTATTGATAGACTACCTACTCTCAAATTTTGAGGGTTCATGTGAATTTCGTGTGTTCATTAAGTATTATTTTTTGCGTAAAAAACATCACAGAAACCAAGGAAAGATTCGAATGTGAATTCTACACCATCAATTTCAATGGTTGATAAATATCATGGAATAGAATTGGACGATCGGAAAATGAAAGTACGTAAGATGGCTGAGGCTGTAGGCATCTTAATTGAGCGAGTATATCATATTTTCCACGAATATTTGGACTTTTAAAAATTATCCGCGAAGCGGGTGCCGCAATTGTTCACAATCGACTGTAAGAGCAATCGAAATAGTTGGTATTACAGGGTAAACGTGCACCAATCAAGGCCAAGGGGGTCATGGACAACAAGGTCATAGCCACAGTTTTTTAGGATCCACATCTTTCATTACCCCTGGAGAAGGGTAGAATGATCACTGACGAATATTTCTAAGAACTTTTAGATATATCGGATATTGATTTGAAGCCAGAACGACTGCATTTGACGCAGAAAAGTGTTTTTTTCTTGAAGACAATGCACCTGTGTAGTCACGATGACATAAATTGGGCTATGAACGGCTAATCTGCTCTCTCATGCAGGATATTCTACAGATTTAGCCCCCTGCGACTATATCCAGTTTTCAAATTTAAAGAAATGGCTGGTTGGTAAGTGATTTGGGCCGAATGAAGAGATCAATACAGAAACAATTGCCTATTTTGGGGGCCTTGCGAAACCTAATTGGAAGGAATGAAAAAAATGGAAAAACGCAAGACTGAATGTACCGAGCTGAAAGAGATTATGTTCAAAAATGAAACGTTTATTCCTTCTAAAAGTCATTGACTTATGAAACATCCCTCGTATATAAAAATCCAATTTGATTCATGAATAGATCGATATTTGAAAAAGAAACATCTCATTAATTGAAAACGTTTTGATTGATTTCACTATCTCATGCGCCCTTTTTACAGATTGGGATTGTTGGTAGAACCGGAGCTGGAAAATCATCATTGATATCGGCGTTGTTCAGACTTGCATATTATGATGGTTTGATTCTCATAGACCACTTAGATATCAGTGTCATCGGATTGCATGATCTCAGAAGAAAGGTTTCCATTATTCCTCAGGTGCAAAATTGGCAGTGGTATAAAAGTGTAAAAAATCTGACAGAGACAGTTTTTACAGGAACCAGTTTTATTTTCCGGTACTCTTCGCTACAACCTAGACCCATTCAATGAATACAGCGATGCAGATATATTTGCAGCATTAATGGATGTTGAAATAAGAAATGCAATGATTTACGGAATTAGTAAGACGATCAAAATAATACTTATCGCTAGCAGAGCAAGACGCTCATAACATTTTTTGTTTTAGAGTGCTTGGACAATGTCATGACGGAAGGAGGGACGAATCTAAGCGTTGGACAGAGACAAATGGTTTGTCTGGCAAGAGCGATATTGAGAAACAATTTGATTTTGATTATGGACGAAGCTACGGCGAATGTTGATGCCCAAACGGATAAATTTATCCAAAAAACGATCAGGAAAAAATTCGCTCATTGCACCGTTCTTACAATTGCTCATAGATTACATACGGTCATGGATTCTGATAGAGTAAGTTGAGTTCAATACAATTCAATGACTTATTTGCTATATATATACTTATTTGCTATATATATTATCGTATTTTTTTATTCTACGCTCTGATCTATCAAAAACTCAAAGTATGATGCATACCCGTACTTGTAAAATTCTGAGGAATCTATAGAAATTATTGTTTGAAAGTACATTTTCACATTTTTTCGGCCCCTATACGCCAAATATCGGCCACGTGTTTTCCAGTTTGTTTCTGACCAGGGGCCTGTTGAACCGGGATATCCGACCTCTACAACTTGTTGTTGACCTATTTTAGGGTGTTTGGCAAAATAAATCACTCTCAGTTCAAAAAACTGACAATATTTTAGGAGGTACATGAATTAATTTTTTCCTTTGGTTTGAAAATATAATTCATTTACATAAATCGCACCTATATTTCTTTGAAGGGACGACTTCGTATGCACAGTCTTGGAATTCTGTGCATTTTAGGTGATACCAGCCGATACAATAATCACAGCTAATAGTTTATTTTCTGGTTCATCATCTTTATCACTGATGAGATCCTCTTAACATAAGGTACATTTCAATCTTCCATTTTCAATTGTTGTCTCAGTATTCTCCATATTCTCTTGTAGGTAATCGCCTACTTTTTCTCCTAGATTTCTTTTTTCTCACTGTTTCTCTGCACCTTTTTCATTCTCATGTTCTCAATTCTTTCTTTTTTTTATTGTGGTGCTTTTTTCAAATGATAACTTCGCCAAGCCTGAGAAAAAATTGCACTAGGTAGTCTAGCTTTTGCCGTTTTGGTTTCCGTTTTTTTCATGTTATAAGGAAAACACAAATGAGCCTTAAAAAAATCTACGTTTTCTTCTACTACTACTCCTTTTTGATCTCTCATTTTATCTATATCTCCTTTCTCATCAACTGTTTAGTCTCTTCTACGCTTTAGCAGCTATATGAACCCTTTTCGCAGCTATATGAACCCCTTTCGCATCTATATGAACCCTTTTCGCGGCTATATGAACCCCTTTTTCGCAGCTATATGAACCCTTTTTGCATCTATATGAATCCTTTTCACAGCTATATGAACCCTTTTCGCAGCTATATGAACCCCTTTTCCGCAGCTATTTGAACCCTTTTCGCATCTATATGAATCCTTTTCACAGCTATACGAACCCCTTTTACGCAGCTATATGAACCCTTTTCGCAGCTATATGAACCCCTTTCGCAGCTATATGAACCCTTTTTGCATCTATATGAATCCTTTTCACAGCTATATGAACCCTTTTCGCAGCTATATGATCCCCTTTTCCGCAGCTATATGAACCTTTCTCGCGGCTATATGAATCCTTTTCCGCAGCTATATGAACCCTTTTTGCATCTATATGAATCCTTTTCACAGCTATATGCCTTTTCGCAGTTATATGAACCCCTTTTTCGCATCTATATGAACCTTTTTCGCAGCTATATGAATCCTTTTCACAGCTATATGAATCCTTCTCACAGCAATATGAACCCTTTTCTCATCTATATGAACCCTAACGTTTTCTTAGATTATTCTGGTAGCAGCGTAGGTGTGGCAATAACTCAATGCATAGGTCTGAGCGGTCTCGTGCAGTGGGGCATGAGGCAGTCTGCTGAACTCGAAAACCAAATGACCTCAGTTGAAAGAGTATTGGAATTCACGAAAATAGAACACGAATCCGATCTGGAATCAGTAAGAACCAAAAAATATATAATAAACATTCAGTAATGAAATGTATAACTAGCGTAGACCGGCGTATAATAAATCCAAAACTAGCCCCGTTCCCTAACACCAGAACTATAACACTCTTCTGAAATGAGCTACTTCATCTCCTGAAGACGCCAACTTAGTGAAACGCGCGTCGAGAAAAGTGTTGCAGTTCTTATGTTTGGGAACGATGCTGGTTTTGGAATCAGTAATCGTTCACAATTGTTCTAGCGTCCTGACAAGAAACCTCCTATCTCGTGGCCGAAACAAGGGAAAATCGAATTCATTGATACCACGATGAGGTATGCTCCGTTTGAACCACCGGTTTTGAAACATTTACATTTCGTTATAAATCCCAGAGAAAAAGTGAGTATTATGTTACACTGCACCAGCACTCGTAGTTGTTTTTACAGATTCTATAGAAAAACTAAAATTTACAACAATATGAATTAATTGTATCAAGTTGTAACTTGTTTCTTATAACGGCAAAATAGTATCGGAATTGCAAAGAAGTGTATCATGTTCGTGTCGCTAAAACTCATTATACTATAACAATTTTCAATTGAAGGTGATTCATTAGCAACGTCGCACTTGAAGTGACCAACGGATAGTCTTCTTACTAACTCTGCAGAGGCGTACCAATATAATATTTTCATTCATTTAAACACATAAGGTATNTTTTTTTCACGTACAATGCGTTCAATTGTCGACAGGGATATTCCCGTTAAAAATGAACACTGGGCTACACCTTCCACTGTACGGAGTGTATTTTTTAAATTTTCGTACACTCTACAGACAATCTGTTTTTCTTCTAACGACATAAACTTCCGCTTTCTTTGTACACTACTTGGACCTGCTACGGCATCCATCTAAATACTATAAAAATAATAAAATTCAATGATATTATTCAGCTAGTTGTCAGTTGTTTACTTACCTCAAAAATTATTTTAAAGTTCTGATTGATACGGCCGTTACTTGATGAAGATTCATGGTAATTTCAAAAACTACACCTCAACGATTTGAACTCCACAAACTTTATTTGAAAAATATATCACAACATGTTTCGCAAAGACATTAGCGTTAGTACAAATCACTTGAAAAAGCTAATGTCTTAGCGTTGTTGTAACATATTTTTCAAAGAAAGTTTGTGGAGATCAAATCGTTGAGGTGTAGTTTTCGAAAAAATATTTTAAAGTTGATGTATTTTGAAAACCACTTAATTGTGAGATTTTCACTAGAACATATTAACAAATCTGCAACACGTGTTTCGCTGCACAGTAGCTTTTTCAATCGTGTTCACTAACAAACTGAATTCTACATACATTGTGATTTATATATACTTTTTGAAATGTTACTATCTACCTAGAAACTAATAATAATCTAGGAAGTAATTAATGACAGTTATACCTGAGTTTAACGAACATTTATACCTGAGTTTATTGACTA